CCCGACGGTGGCTTCGGCTGGGTGGTGGTGCTGGCCGCCACCTGGTGCCACGGCTCCATCTTCGGCATCCACAACTCCTTCGGGATGCTCTACGTCCTGCTGCAGGACGAGGTCGGCGGCACCGAGAAGGATCCCACGCTGGAGTTCCGCACAGGTGAGGCTCTCGCCGCCGCCGCCGCCCCGTCGGGCTGGACCCTCCCGCCCCTTCGCAGTCCCGGGACAGCAGGCGCGCCCTGCGCTCTCCTCCCCCCCCCCGCGCGGAGGAGAGCCGGGTTGGGTACTCCGGTCGCGCAGCCCCTTCCCGGCTCCTTCCGACGGGCAGCGGCCGGGCGCGGCGTCGCTGATTTCCTGCCCGGTTGGTGCCCGCCCCGCGGATCGTGCTCCGTCCCGTCCGGGCGGAAGGGCGCCCCGCGGTCGGGCTGAACCCGACCGTCTCCTGGCCCTGAAAGGACCTCCCGAGTCTCTCCCGGGCCAGGCGCCCCAACGTCGGGCCAGGCGAGCCGAGGGGGACGGCGGGACAAGTCTGCGAGGCAGCCTGGAGGAAAAGCCGCCTTGCTCCGGCCGGGCTGGGCTGGGCTGCTGCCTAAATCGACCCAAGGCGGTTGCTCTAGGACTCCAGAGGTTCATCCTTTCCCCCCCCCCCATCAATGGGGGACTTCAGGAAGTCAGGGTACATGCGGGTCACCCCACATTGCTTGGGCTACAGTGGGCTCAGTCAAAGGGTGGGGAAGATCCCGTGTGAAGGGAACGTCAAGAAAGAATAAGTCCTACCCTGACTCTCCCTCTCCAATCTGGTCCCTGCTAAATTTCTTGGACCACAATTCCCATCATCCTGTGAGGTAGCGTTAACTTGGGGTGGTGGACGTAGGTGGTTATGGCCGTCTAGAGAAGATGTCCGGTTGGGTCTGGCGGTCTCCAGGATTCCCTCTTGGCTTTTCACAGGGCCCCAAACTATGCTGAATGGTTTTGGTCGGTGATTTTGAAATGGGCCCTCTTGGAAATATAATTTCTGCTTAGAACTGTCTGCTTCCTTTTCGCTCTGACTTGTTAGCCGAAGGCCGCTGCAATGTGGAGGGAGAACCTGGCTTAAAAATAGATAACAGAAAACCTCTTTTAATTGTTCTCTAGATTGTAGAAACTGGTTCAGCCTCTAGCCCACGCAGGGAATTATGAGGAGTCCTTGAGCGTGGTGGTTTTCTTGCAGATGTTTCATTATCCAAACTAGGTAACATCATGAGTGCCAGTTGATTAACACTGATGATGTTACCTAGTTTGGGTAATGAAATGTCTGGAAGAAAAGAACCAAGTTGAGAGCGTGTCAAGGACTCCTCGTTTCAACCCTGAGCTACAAAGATTCTCCTTTATTAGTGAATTATGAATTAGAAGCCAACCGTGGAAATGAATCGGAATCTGTTGCTCAGTTGATGTGTCAGAAAGAGTATCAGGATCAGAGTAAGTTGCCTTTGTACACACCTTCTTGTGAAAACATCAAAATAATTAGCTTGCTTGAGCCAAGCCAGTTCAGGCTAACCTGATCACAGGTGAGAGAAAACTGCATCTGGGCCTGGATGTTGTCTCAGAATTAATGGGGTTATGAAATCATATGCAACCTTGACTTGAAAGAAAATACTCGGAGAGACGTGCTGTACGGTGTTATAGAATGACCGGAATCAGCGTACAATTCAAGCTACAGGGGGGAAAAAAATAAAGTTTGTAGCTACTATTGTTATACTAAACACATCCGCCAAAAGCATAGCACTGATATAAAATGGGTGATATACATTTATAGTAAATATAACAAAATTATTAATGTGATTGTTCCGAGATATTTTTTTAAAAATGGAGTTCAGAGGATATTGCAGTAAATAGTTGTGTTTTATTTTCAAGGTTGTGTTTTGCCTTGTAGTGCGTTAAAATGGATTGCCTCAGACTTGGAGTTTTTGAACTATTTGGAGCTAATGGGAATTGTAGCCTAGCTGATTGGAGTCAAACCTGGAAGCTGGAGAAGCCAAAGTGTTTTAGGTTCTTCTCCTCCTTTAAAGGGAAATTGCCCATGTGCAAACAAAAGATTTGGAACTGTGCCAACATTTCAAAACTGATCAAAATGGGACCAGATTACCTGGGCTTGGAGTGAATTGCTCCATGTTATGGAAAGATCTCTTCCTGTAAAATCACTCAAAATAGTCTTAGGGCCACCAGTTGCTTCTTGCATAGGCCATAAATTAGTCAGGCAGCATTATTGTTTATATACGAAACACATTTCATTTTACTCTATTTTTTTCCCCTCTTGACAGGGGAATTCCCCCGCAAAGATTGAGTTAGTTTCTATAAATGTTTGGAGTCAAGGGAATCCCCTGTGCTGGGTTTAAAATTTTCAAACAATGCCTCAAAATATCTTCTTCCACTTGGAAGTTATTGCTTCCTTTCCGATATGCTGATCTTTGATTTAGTAACTTATAACAGCTTCAAAGGGAAAGAAAAACAGCCACAGGTAGTTCTCAACTTACAGCCATTCATGTTCAGAGTTACAGTGATGCTGAACAAAGTGACTTATGATCAGTCCTCGCAGTTATGACTGTCACAGGGTCTATGCAGTCACACGGTTGCAGTGTCCTGGGTCATGTGATCGCCATTTGTGATTTTCCCAGTCGGCTTCTGCCGAGCAAAGCCAGTGGGGGCCAGTGAGTGACCGCTTGTGGCTCCTGCGTCTGGCAGGATCTCTGATCTTTTCTAAATCCTGCAGACTGAGAGCAGGAGAGTGGAAGCAGTGGGGCTTGGCCCTTCCCCATCTCCCCCCCACCTTTCCTTTAAAAGGGAGGATGGATGACCTCTCAGGTCAAGTACAAGAGAAGGCAGGTGATGCTCTTTCACCTGCCCTTTCATGCCCTTGCGGAGCTTAGCCCAACCAAAACTCAGATTCTGTGTCCGGACTGTCTTGTTCTTGTTTCCCCAACAATACATGCTTTGCATTTGTTTGCCATCTTGGGGGCTGGGGAGGAGGCTGCCTGTAAAGGGAGCAGTGGAACTCTTGAGTTCATATCAACAAGTTTGCTCCAACACACCTATCTTTGGCCTTGGTGCGGAGGTCCCCAACCCCCCCCCCCGGCCTGTGGACCTGCACTGGGCCACAGCATGCCAGGAACCGGGCCACTCAAATAGGTGAAGCTGCATCCGTGGGATACAGGCAGCACGCGAAACCAGGCCCCCTCTGGTCCACGGGAAAAATATCCACGGAACTGGTCCCTGGTGCCCAAAAGGTTGGGGGGGGGGTGTGTGTGCTATGTTAGAGATAGGGCTGGAAGCTAAAACATAGGAAGAACAGTTGCAGGAATTGGAAGTTGCAGTTGCGGTGAAAAGGAGAAACAGGGGAGACATGATAGCAGTGTTCCAATATTTGAGAAGCTGTCACAAAGAAGAGTGGGGCAAATTATTTTCCAAAGCACCCGAAAGGCAGGACAAGAAGCAACGGATGGAAACTAATCAAGGAGAGAAGTAAGCTAGAACAGGGGTCCCCAACCCCCGGTCTGTGGACCTGTACCGGGCCGCGACATGCCAGCAACTGGTCCATACAAACAAGCAAATCCCCATCCACGGGATGTAGGCAGCACACAAAACCATGCACTCTCTGGTCCATGGAAAAACCTATCTCCATGGAACTCCATGGGGACCTCTGAGCTAGAACTAAGGAGAAATTTCCTGGCAGTTAAAACAGTTAATCAGTGGAACGGCTTGCCTCCAGAAGTTGTGAGTGTTTCATCACTGGAGGTTTTCAAGAAGAGACTGGACAGCCATTTGTCCAGAATGGACTATCCCAGTGGTGGCGAACCTATGGCACAGGTGGGCACGCGTGCCGTCGCCCCAGTCCTAGGCCTTCAGCTGGGTTTTATAAAACCTTTTCGCTTTAGGCCTCCGCCGCCGTGTGCAAAAAAAAAAAAAAAAAGGTTCAATCAGTCAATTTCAACTTTTCACGGGAAAAAAAAGATCTTGCAAAGTTGGAATTGATTGATTGAACTTTTTAGTCCCACCCAGTCTGCCGTTACCACAGCAGCCACGCCCACCCAATGGGCCACGCCCACCCGGCACCTGACGATGCATAAGTGGGTTTTGGGTTACAGTTTGGGCACTCGGTCTCTAAAAGGTTCGCCATCACTGGTATAGGGTCTTCTGCTTGAGCAGGCGGTTGGACTAGAAGACCTCCACAGTCCCTTCCAAGTCTGTTATTCTGTTACAGTTGGGACCCTTGCTAAGCATTGCACTCATTAAACAAGGTGTGGCCTATTCTGCAACCTTTTTTTTGGTGGTCCTTAAGCCGGTTGTTAAGTGAATCTGGGCTCCCCCCTTGACTTTGCTTGTTTGAAGCCAGCTGGGAAGGTTTCAAGTGGTGATCATGTGACCTCAGGATGTTGCAGCTGTCAGAAATATATCCTATAGCCAAGTGCCCAAATTTGGCTACATGATTGCTGGAACACTGCAATGGTCATAAGTGCAAGGACCAGTCCTAAATAACCTCTTTTCAGTGCTCTCATAAATTTAAAATGGCTATTAAACAAATGGCTGTAAATTGAGGACTATCTTTATATGCCTGGAAATACTTTTTTCTTTTTTTCATTTGCTGCTAGGATGGTACTTCTATTAAACTGGTTAGTAATAAAATCCACAAGCATTACTTTGATGCCTCTCCCCCAAGAATTTCCCCTCCCCACTGCATGGTTTGGGTCAAAAATATAGGCTGTATTTTATATTGGGGGGCGTTACGGAGCGAAATGGCCTTCATAAACCTTTCAGATATTTCAGGCAGCCTTTTCACCCCTTTTATCATCCAGATCCCTCTCCCCAAATCAGCTCTGTGCTGGCCTTGTTTTGGAGCATGGATTTCAGCCTGCTGTGCCAAGCTTAGTGTGGCCATCCTCCAACACATTAAGCCTCTCTGCATTTGCCTGCATTGGTTGTGCATTGAATGCTGTGGTCCTGCACAGCTGGAGGACCCCACTTGGAAACAGCTGTAGAAATTGGTCGCCACTGTTAGGATGGGCCTAATAATCTTGCTTTTCCTTCACTTTTGATGGGGATAAGGATTATGGGAAGTAAGGGTGAAGTCAGCCCTGCGTAGTCCTGAGCCCAACAAAGTTTGTCCCTAATTATCTTTTGGTTCCT